CAAGTAAGCCAAATCAATTACAGGAATTTACATTCGCAATAGCCTGTGTAGAACTGGTTGCCACGTCACCTAGCCCATTTGCGCCCAAATTTTACGTAAAATAAAAACTTATTTTTGCGTAACGTTGGTCTTCCACATGATCTTTTTTTCGAAGGTTTCAGATGAAATGTAGTCAGAACTAAGACAAAGAGATTTCAGTGCTACTCGGTGACAATGACACGATGCATATGCTCAAGAATGAACATTTCGATGCAGGAATCACAGAGATGCTTGGCGCCTGTGGTTTCGGCATTTTCTATGTGAGTTTCCAGACCTCTTTTATGCGACTCGGTTGATGGTGATCATGGTTAAATCACAGTGTCACAATGGAATCGGACTAATTCGACCAAAAAAATGGATAGTCATAGTGTTGCTTACAAGTACTAATGCATCAAACCATTCATTGGCCCGTGGGTACCAGGTATGATTGCTTGATGTTCCCCACAATGTGCCCAAAAAAGGGTGCCATTTTTGCATTGCGGCCTCGGATGGCATTGTCCTACAAGGTTTGATGGAAAGTTACTCATCCAGTCTCCGACAGACGCAGCTGGTACCGTTGCAATCAGTTGGGAGCGGAGTAGGAGTCATGGAATGAGCCCGCCCGCTGTCTTTTCCACCACCGCTTGTTTTCTGCCTGAACGAGCTTCCACTGGAAGAAGGCGCTGCCATGGGCGGGCTTACTGCACGCCTTCCAGCAAGCCCCATCAGATTAGACAATATCAACTGCAGAAAATGACTTCAACTAGTAGCCGTTTTCCTATCATACCGCGCTGTGACTTTAAAGTAGTCACTGTGAAATCCGTCTGGATGCTGCTTGGCGCCCTCATGTGAACAGGGTACAACATCGTTGAGGAGGGGGTCGTATTTGGTCGTTGGGAGACAGGGGGGGTTGTGTGTGCCTTTGAATAGAAATTAGATGTTCTGCGGGCGTTCGCAGAGGTTCTCGCGGATTGTTGAATATTTGAGATGCCGTGGATTTTTTCTGTTTCATGTGGCAGTGGAATAAGCCCGGTCCAGTTCAATCGCGCTCTGCCGTTAGACCGCCCCCATTTTCCCGCGAAGGAAATTTTTGGGTGAAATACTGTACTGGAAAATGAGGAAGTTGGTAGGCAGGTGTCAGGGAAGGGGGTGGGTCGTACCTACATCACCACCTCACACATCACGATGCTATACCCTGCATGTGAAGCAGAAGTTTCTGCGACTAGGGTAGAGATTGGTGAGCGTGCCATTCGTGTTGCTTGCGCTCCTCTGCGAAAAATGGTGCCAGCGATTCCTCGAACTGACTCCTTCTTGCGAAAAAAAAACAAGTATAGCGGGTCCCTTCCTCTACAGCGCAGATCTCCAGCACTATGCCCACGCCGATTGCGGCGTACTAGGCCACTATACAATGTATTTGAAAAAGTGTTCTAGAAATTTCCCTTCTGGAAATCGTGTTTTGAAGTGGGTGAGTCCTTGGCTGCAGCAGCGTTTCGCTTTTTCCTTCCAGAACAAAACCAAAAACAAAAAAGCACGAAAACAGGGCTGGAGGGGACTGATACGCGGGCCCCGTTCCCCGACCACGCCCGCGTTATCCTTAAGATGCAGCACTTGCGTTAATACCAAAATCCCGCAGTGAAGTCAGAAGTAGAGAGCAACCAGAAGTGGGAGGGCACACAGGCAGATAGCACGCTTAAAGGCAACGCCCCCGTTCATTTGATGTTCCTACGCCCTCCTTAGATATGTCAGCTCAAAAATACGAGAGGATGGCGCCACCCGCTTGTGAAGAGGATGCCGCCCCGCCCACCTGGCTGCCATAACTGCTTTGGCTTAGCCTTTAAAGGCTGAGCCCGCTTTCAAGAATAATGAGTTATGGAGCTCATATAATACGTGATCCAGTAGTGAAGAAAAAAGCAGAAAAGGGGGTGGACGGCCGACTCTTCACTAGCGAACGGCGCTATCCTCTCGCCTTTTTGAGATGCAAAACTAGTACATACTGCATCCTCATAGGGAGGGCTATGATATCCAGAGAGGGCGCGGGAACATCAAATGAACGTGGGCGCTGCCTTTAAGCATGCTGCTGACCGTGCAGGAGCGCGGGCAGAGTATGAAGGCGAAAACTCGGCAAGGAAAACAGCACGCTGCTGCAGCTAAGGACTCATTTACCTCGCACCTTGCAGTCGTGAACTTACGTAAAATCATTTAGAAGCTCGGAATTAACCATATGATCGCTGCATCGGCGACGGCCATGCTCGACACGATGAGCGAATACTGCGATATCCCGAAACTGCCCAGCATTGTACCATGTCAGTTTATGCTTTCATCCAAGCTTCAGAAAAGCCGAACCCTATTTCTGACTTCAACATGCTGACCAATGACGTTGTGAGCCCTCGACGTGAGGATGCGAATCGAGGTAAAAACCGGGTTGTTGTAAGAGGGTTCCATTTGCTCATGTCTAGCGTTCAGGAAAACTTTCCCCAGCTGTGAGTGGGGTACTTCGGGTTGATAGTTATTCACATTTGCGTTCCCCCTCTCCACGCTTGGTGCCGGTTTCTTCGGAAAGCTGATGAAGTTCGTTGAGAATTCGCTAGGGTGGTTGATAGGCTTAGAAAGAAGGTCGTACCGATAGAGAAGTCGGGGGGGGGGGGAGTGGATTGGAGCCGCCACTCACTCATCGCCACATTGTACCGTGGCTGATGTAGTCCTACCTGCTCGGAAGAAGGAAGCAAATCCGATAAGGGTCCATCTTAAACCAGCGAACAAAGAAAAGATAATTCTCGCCTCGAGGTCACGTCGTAGGTTAGTTACCACAAAGATTAGTACTGCTCGCTGTGTCATCCCCTTGCATAATTTTGCCTAACATGCCTTCCCTTCTAGAAAATCTTTACAGCAGTCCTTCTACCGTACAGTAATCGGATGAATTTCTTGGAGAGAACAATCAACATGCTTGCTCATGCCTTTGCTGATTTCGTTTCCTATCAGTTTGGGAAGAGATACAAGGTGAGTTTGCAATTTTATCAAAGTTCCTTATTGGGTCCGTCTGATTAGATGTCTCTCCCCTCCCTTACGGATGAACACAGAAGGAGGACCATGCTTGTGCTTGGCTTCCGTCTATGGGCACGTGCGACACGGCAGCTGCGCTACCTCTTTGTTTTTGTTTCCCTCAAGTATCACTCATTTTGTTCAACGCTGTCCATTATTTTTCGCTTTCAATGATTCTTCTTTGGGGGAAGGGGGGGGGGCATCTAGCTAGTTTGTTGGCTTTTTTATTTTCCGCAGTGGTGAAATCTGTTAAGTCTTGCAAAGCTGTGAAATAGAAAATAGAACGAGCCTCGTTTAGCGCAGCTTTGATTAGAACTGCAAGCCCTTGTAAGCCCACGAAATGGCATGAGTTCATTGTCTATGCCTGCCATAGCTTCACAAGAATTGGTGGTTTTTCACAAGGTATTCTCTACAGGCGAACTACCAAGATGTCCCCCCCCCCCCCCCCCCCACTCCCAAAGCCGATTTGCCCTTTTTCCTACAGTAACTGCAAGCAGCATACACGTTTTACAAAACTCATTTTTAGAAGGTGTGGAGTCGTCATGGTGTTGAAACCGATGAACAATATTACAAGGATAGAATCAACTATTTACTGTTAAATTCGGACGAATTCCTCGACTTCGCTCAACCAACTTCTCCGAAAATCGTTTATATCGGTGGTATTACATTACAAGAAATAACTCCGTTGTCAGAGGTAATGGGATTAGGCGCTCAGCCAAGCATGTTCCCTTAACGGACTTACTCAGCTTGCCCTAATCATTTCTCCAGAGATTACAACAAATTATGGAACGGACGAAAATGGGTGTGGTTTACATCTCATTTGGTTCAGCTCTACCAACTAAAGAGGTAAAGCAACTGAGACATAAAAGTTGGTACAGTCTCGCTTAAAGGCAGCGCCCACGTTCATTTGATGTTCCGCGCCCTCTCTGGATATCATAGCCCTCCCTATGAGGATGCAGTATGTACTAGTTTTGCATCTCAAAAAGGCGAGAGGATAGCGCCGTTCGCTAGTGAAGAGTCGGCCGCCCCGCCCACCTGGCCAGCATAGGGGCATTTTCCATGATTTTTTTCTGCTTTTTTTCTTCACTACTGGATCACGTATTATATGAGCTCCATAACTCATTATTCTTGAAAGCGGGCTCAGCCTTTAAAGGCTAAGCCAAAGCAGGGTGGGCGGGGCGGCATCCTCTTCACAAGCGGGTGGCGCCATCCTCTCGTATTTTTGAGCTGCGAAATTAGTACATCCTCCACCCTTGTCGACAAAGAGGATGTAGGATCATCAGATGAACGCCGGCGCTGCCTTTAACAGCTGAAAGTACAGCTCGCTGAAGCACTATTTGAACAATCCGGAAAGGAATCCAGCGCACTTTGGCTTGGGAAGGGCGAGGGACATTTCGCCCTTCGGCTACTTCACGTCGTCGTGTTCATTGCTTTACAAGGGTTCATAGGTATTCTTTAAGTGACAAGTAGTCTAAAAATTCTGCCTGATCTCACATGGCTTCACAATATTCCACGAGTCTGTATTTGATGGGTCGATACGACGATGGGAAGTAGCAGTAGTGCAAAGCCCCACTCCACTATCCCCTTCCCAAGCCAGACTGCGCCAAAAAGTTTGGCAGAGTGGATACATTTGATTTCATTCCATTTCAGATGCCCGAACCCTTCCGCGAAGGCATAATCGAGGTAGCGAGGACGTTTAAAGATTATGACTTTATTTGGAAGGTTGATGAAGGCGATTCAGTACAAGGCGTCCCAAATTTGCACTTATTCAATTGGGTTCAACAAGCAGCACTTATAGGTGGGAGTTCTGCATTCAGTGAGACCCGGTAGTGTGAGTCGTCCGACATAACGCATGCATCCCGCAAGGCAGGTTAACCTTAATCCCTTCACAGAAAAAGCGTCTTGTTGGCCCTGTAGATTGAGGAGCGTCACTGCCGGACGCGGCATCGCAGTACGAGTTGACTTGGAGGGTTTATAGCCGCGCAGCGCCGCTTACGGCGGAGAACAGTAGTAGCGCTTTGCGTCGACTTTCTCTCCCAGTGTCAACTTACTGGCCCATTACCGCAACTGGAAGGTAAAGCCAGACACTCGGCCCTACACGTTCTCGACCGTAAACTGAAGACTCTTAAATGGAGTGACCCGAAAATCTACAACTATATCTCCAGCCCAGCAGTCTGCGATGTTTCGTTGTCACATGCGGCGTCATGCGCAACAGTATCCTGGAGTTAAGCGAGAAGCCCTCATGCGAAAAACACCATCAATCTTGTGCCGGCTTCGCTGATCAGCTAGCGTTCGAATTGTTGAATTTTAACATTTTGTAAACGGGGCTCAAAGCGCTCACACAATACGTTGACATTCCTCTGCTGTCCAGAAATGCTCTTCTGGTGGAAGTGAAAAACACAAACGATAGTGATATCTAAGGAATAAGTTCAACCGCGGACTACGATTCCGCGGGCTGCACTTCAACAAATACTCACGTGATGTAGGGTAAGGAACAACTAAGTCAACTTAAATTACAATCAGGAAAGTTTAGAGTGACAGCGCTGCCGCAAAAAGGCATTTCTCCATCATGTCACCTCTTGCTCTATCGTGGCTGTGAGAGCGCCACAATTCATCGGGGGCGCGAGTCAGGAGGGGACGAGGATGGCCTATTCTCACCAGCAGCTTTCATGAATAAGAAACGCACTTTTGATTCATGCTTCGAAAAATGGGCTGTAAAAATGATAGATATAGTTTTTTCTCCGCGGATGAAGGGGCTTTTAGTGAAGCTGGCTTTGGCGCGCTGGCAGCCCGTTCTCTACCGGTTGCTGAAGCGGTTGAGTGTCAACAACTGGTGGGAAATAAGTGATACGAACGACATGATACAGCTTTGGCACTCGCCGAAAGAAAAGAAGAAAATGGGTTACGCCGCGCTGAGCCAAACCGTTCTCCCTGACACGCCCCATCATCTGCAGTGAACAAGAATGTAACATGAGAGATCCAATACACTACCAGGTATTTGCTCACACTCGCCTCTACTTTTATGGCACTTTCAGTTACTCCCAACGAGCAGAACGTTTGGCGTCTCTGATGAAGACCAAACCATTCGCGGTAAAAGATCGGTTGCTTTCAACGGTCAACTTCTCCATACGACACGGCCGTTTTTATGATCTCGACAGTGGAAGGCATTTAAATACGATTCAATATTACAGTGTAGACGTTGTAGCATTTCTAATAACTTTCTTAGTAGCCGCTATATTTATGAGCTTTTACATTTGTAGATTCCTTTGTCGAAAAATACGACGAGGGAAGGTCAAAAGCGATTAGTTTTACTCTCTTATTCTGAATGAAACTTTTTGTTATTTGCCTTGACTATTGTAAGCTTCCCTCTATATAGATACTCACGCTAACCACATTTTCATTTATTTTATTTGTAAAATGAAAATGAGTATATATTTTAATAAAATGTGTTAAGTTTGCAAAGTGCCCTAAAATCCCTATTATAAATGCATTTTTCATGAAATATCTCAGTAAGAGGATGCGATGGGGGCTTTTAAAGCCTTACCCAGCTCCTATAGGCTTGTTCGCCGCGGATGATCGGGCGTCAATGAAGCGGGTTTGGCGCGGTGCCAGCCCGTTTTTTCCGCAGGCGACAAGACTTTCACGTCGTTCGTATCACTCGTTTTACATAAAGTATTGTCGCTTACCAGCTTCAAGAACTGGTGAGGAAAGGGCTGGCGCCTTGCCAAACCCAGCCCTCATGACATGCCTGAGCGTCTTCAGCGAACAAGACAGTGTACAAGGCACTTTTCTTTTCGGCAATCGGTGCAGACGGGCTGGCATTACGTGGCAACGAAAGCGTTTCGATTCTAAAGACCAAGCAGCCCCAGCAACTGTACTCCATCCGGATACCATTTGCTAGCGAAAAGCTAATTATACTTCATTTTTTTTACATCTCATCATATAACAACAACGGTAACAACAGCAATAACATCAACAACGGGAAACAATGTACAGTAACTCAACAGACACTCATGACGGTCTACTCTGTAACCAGTTCTCGATGTGAAATTGAAGGTTTTTTGGTGTTAGCTCTTGTTGTCGTTTCTGAAAACGTCACCTCTTCGATAATAACAAAAATGACCGGTTCAAAGGTAAGTGACGCCATCGGTTCAAAATACTGCATAATTTCGTACACTTATTGTTAGTTCAAAAAGTACTTGTCAAAACAAGGCTTCAAGTTTCAAACCGCTATGATTTATGACCGCTTCTTGCATGCACATGTCCACGATGCTCATGCCTTTAAAAAACGTTTTGGACTGAATTCCCTCGGAAAAACAAAGCTAGGCCTGAGGCGATCTAAGGGCACGTCATGCTTTGGTGATCCCAGAGAAGAGG